CATACTGAGTCACAGTGCCCTGAACTAATACATTGTGGTCTTGGAACAATCTTTCAAACCTCCTTCAAGATTATCTTAAGGGGTTGCAAAATTTTGTCACAATGGGAGTTGTTCAGTCCTTTCCAAATGTAAAGAATAATTCTATCTCGACCTCATTGTCATATTTCTGTTGTTTATTCCACTGAGGACAGCAAAATGTGAATCTGTATTGAACTAAAGTATTACATTTCCCCATCAAAGAGGGAAATAGAATCAAATGTTCACAACTTGAAAAATACTACACTGTTGAGTGGTGCCTAAAAGTATCAAGGCTGTAGTTTATTTGAAGTGTTCTAAAGAAAGTAAGTTTCTAATGTTCTTGGTTGCAGTCACTGGTGTGAAAAGCCAATTTATTGTGACAGTGTTCACGGCATTTTTATTTGGCGGGGGGGAGGGTGGCGCGAGTCCATAGAATCATGCACCTTGTGTTTCTTTATTTCCCATAAAAAGTGTATTGTTACTTGTTAATCTTTTTGTTATTTGCAACAAAAATGTTGTTGACTGGTTCACATAAAGAGAAATTATTGCAGTATTTAATCAATGATGCCCACTGAATTGGGGTTGCCTTTTCTGTAAGCACTCTTGTCCTCTTCAAAACCCTTTTTTGAAAAGAAGCTTCCTCTTGAAGCTCCTCCCAGCCTTCAAAAATTGCGTTGATTTCTATTCCCCTTTCTCTCTGTCATTTAATAGAAAATGAAGATGAACTTTTGGACATTTCAGTGTCCTGCACAAACCATTATTTACCCAGTTATTAATGCAAATAACTTAGATATTTGCAGTTTTTTTAATAATAGCAAATGTGACTATGTTCACTCATTTGGGGATAGGAAATTGAAGATGGTTACCAATGTATTTTGCATCCAGTTTTTGCTAAATAGTTGAGGGCTTACTGTCATTATTAGCTACTACTGATATTTAATAATCTGGTTTGAAGATATTTCCCTGTCCATTTATGAATTATGTTCTCTAATACAGTTACAGTAACAATTTTTAGATATTGCCTCAATGGGTCTATTTTATGAAAACGTGCTATTAAAGTTCTAAATTCACTTTTTTTCTTTTTTCAAATGCTCTTGAAAAATTAACTCTGAACATAATACTGCTGTGGCAGTACACTACGAGGAGCAGTGCAACCAAGGCAACTTTAATACTAAAGCTGAACATGGAGGCTAACATATGTCTTATCTAAATTATAGGGTCAGCATTTGGTCAACATAACATAAATAACGACCTCTTTGTGCAAGCACAGGTCCAACCATAAGATTGACTTGTGGAAACGGAGCGAGTATGAAGTACTATGGAGCGACTACTCGAGCCATTAGCGTAAGAGTAATTCAGCATGGAAACAGGCCCTTCAGTTCAAACTGGTCCATGGTGCCCACTCAGTTGGATCCAATTGCCTGCATTTGGGTCATATCCCTCTAAACAATTCCCATTCATTTACCTATCCAAATTTTTTAAAATGTTGCTGTTGTACCTGCCTCAGCCACTTTCTCTGGCAGCCCATTCCATACACATACCATTCAGGTGAGGCGATGGTCTAATGGTATTATCGCTGAACTGTTAATCCGGAGACCCAGATAATGTTCTGGGGACCTGGGTTCAAATCATGCTAGGGCAGATGTGGAATTTGAATTCAATAAATACCTGGGATTAAGAATCTAATGATGACTGTGAGTCCATTGTCAATTGTTGAAAACACCCATTTGCCTTACCACTGTCCTTTCGGGAAGGAAACTGCCATCCTTACCTGGTCTGACTTACATATGACTCCAGACCCATAGCAATGTGGTTGACTCTTAACTGCCCTCTGGGCAATTAGGGATGGGCAATAAATGCTGCCTGGCCAGTGACGCCCTCCTCCTGTGAAAGAATAAAGTTCTCTGTGTGAATATGTTGCCTCTTGGGTCCTTCTTAAATCTTTCCCTCTCATCTTAAACCTATACACTCTAGTTTTCAATTCCCTATCCCTGGGAAAAAACTATATGCATTTAGCCTATCTATGCCCCTCGTGATTTGAAACACCTCAGTAAGGTCACCCCTCATTCCCCTATGTTTCAGGGATTAAAGTCCTATCCTGGCTAACTTCTCCCTCTAACTCAGGCCAACTAGTCCTGGCAACATCCTCGTAAATCATCTTTGCACGCTTTCCAGTTTAACTACGTCTTTGCTATAAAAGGATAACCAAAAACTGTACCCAATACTCCAAATGTGGCCTCACCAACCACGTTGGTGATAATATGTGCAGTTTGGCTGAGTTTGAACAGATGTGCAATGCAGAAAATAACAAACTGCTGTGAAATGATGAGTACCTGCAAAATATTGAGTATAATGGTTAATGATAATCTTATATTTAGATTTGGCAAGAATTGATATGTAGACTGTTGACAATCACAAGTGGTCTTCAAAATGTTTTGAAATCTACAGATTATAATTCAGCATAACTCATCAAAAATATATTGAATGACAATTTGAACTCTGTTTACTGAGACCCTCTCAGTATTTTGACTGCTGATTTTTGATGTCTTATTTATTATCCTTTGTAAGTAGGATTTCCATGGCATTATTTACCTGTATCCTTTTCTATTTGTTCTTGATGAGGAAGGCCAGCATTTGATGCCCTGGGAATTACCCTTGGAAGGCGATGCTGAGTTACCTTTTAACTGTTGTACTTCATCTGATATAGGCACACTTGTGCTATTTTAGATGGGACTATATGGTGTGAAGGTTACTACCTTGAGACTTGGAGAGAGATTTCTGATGTTCGTTGCTTTCCAGTTGTACCCTAAATGTAACAGATTTGCTGTCTACTGCAACAGAGTTAAATTTACTGATACTGGTTGCAATGAACAGATGCTTACTCTTTTTCCCTTCTAAAACCCCTTGTTTTAGTTATAAAACATCTCAAGGTCTGTGGTATTATATCAAAAAAGAACAGAGGGTTCTCCGTATCCCCCAAAATCTGGACAGTATTTATTTCTTAATCTGCTTTAGGCGATGTTGGCTATCTGACTATTGTTTCATTGCGCATGGGCCAATTGGCAGCAATTTTTTAAAAAAAATAACTAATCACCGCAGATCTTTTGAGAAATGTGGAAACCATAATGGGTGTTAAATAAGTACAAGTCTATTATAAGAACAGTACTTTGATTGCAAAAGTCAGTTAGATCTAAACAAGCTGCATATGGTCATCGCCAATTGACTATTACAGCCAACAAATGATGGTACTGAATTTGTTGACAGATTGTCTGTCTAAATAATCTGAACGTTGAACAGTTTCATTTAATTTTATTACTGCAAGCTCATGAAAATATCAATACTGTATACATTTGTTTGGCGTTAGTACTTCTGCAAGTGAAAAATGGCAGCTATTTTATACTAAGGTTGATGTATCGGGACAACTTAATTGACAGAAATATACGTTAAATGACTGGAATTATGGGGCACATGAGTGATGCTACCTTTACCCAGTTTCATCTGTGCTGCCTGTACAATCAACTACATTGTGGGAAAGAGATGCTGGAAGATAATTTTCCCTGCTAAAACTTGAGTCACAGTTCTAGTCTTATCCTGAAGATTAAGTGCGTTTCCTGCAACCACCATATCAATTACCCTCAGGATTGTACATACTTCAATAAGATCACTGCAGATTGTATATGGCCTTACTGAGGCCCTTTCCAACTGTAACATCACTATTCTACTTTTATAGATATTCCATTCCTCTTTCCAACAATGAAAACCTTCTGTATGCTTCACTAATCACTTGTACCTACTTACTACTGTGGTGATTCATGTATTAGTGCATCCAGATCCCTCGGTACCTCCAAGTTCTGTCTGCTTTGCTGTTCTTCCTGACAAAATGAACATTTTCACAAGATCCCATATTGCAGTTCATCTGCCATTTTCTTGCCCACTCACTTAACTTGCCTTTATTCGGACTGCTTATGTCTGCCTCTTAACTTTGTTGCCTGTCTATCTTTGCTAAATTTATAGATGACACAATCATTCTCATCCAAGTTATTGAATTGGATTATAAATAATTGAAAAAGTGAGTATGGCACATCTCAATGTATGAAAGATTTTAAGTGCTGAGAGCGTGAAGCAGAAAATCATAGAATGATTATGTCAGTAAAGGAGACTCTGACCTATTAGCTGGTCCAACTTGTCTCCTTCTCCCCATTGCCCTGTCAGTTGTTTGACTCCATAATTATCCAATTCCTTCTTGAAACTGTTAATCTGCTTCTACCATGTTCTATTCCTGAAAGCCAGTTGAAGAAATAAAAGAACTAATTTTTATTCAGTCTTAATTATTTACAAAGTGAGATATTACAGCCTGGGATTCTAGACTACTAGTCCAGTGACATTAGCATTACACCACTGCCTTTTGATTATAGAAGACAGTTGACTTTTTTCAGACTTTTTAAGATTGTAAGTGGGTGATCTTAATTACTGAGGCAAATTAAAATCAACTACATTAGAAAAGTTGTTTCTGAGATGAGAATAGTCATCAATGGTAATATTAATGTATATTTGCAATAGTGAGACCTTTTTTGAAATTGGGTAAAAGTAGCATTACACTGGTGTCCCATAATTCCAATAATTTAAATCAGAGCTATGAATTGCAACTGTATGTCAAGTATCCAGTTTTAAATTGAGTATTTTTGCATGTCATGGGTATAAATGTTGATTTGAAATAGAATCTATGCACTCAGTGTAATCCGTGTATTGTCATGGAATAATAAAAGTAACTGATTTAAAACGTTGGAAGAAATTGGTGGAAGGGAGAGTCAGGTGTCAGTTATGACTAGTGCAGTTGTATGATGAGCTTAAATGTATTTCGATGCACTTAATTTATTTTTCATTTTCTTTTTACATAGTACAGTCTAGGAATGAATTTGTTATGAATATTGTTTTAAAGCTGCCTTATATATAGTAATCATATGTTTGAATCATTCCCATAGAATCCAAGAAGGATCTTGGCATACAAGAGCCAGGAATGATCTGGAGAGTGACTGGTGGACTTTACAGTATCACAAAGGGAGCGGTAGGTGCAACACTTGGAGGTGTGGCTTGGGTTGGAAGCAAAAGTCTGGAGCTGACCAAAACAGCTGTGACCACTGTGCCAGTGGCAGGTGCCGGCTTGGTGAAGGGAAGTGTGTCAGCAGTGACCGGTGGAGTCAGCGCTGTAGGCTCAGCAGTTGCCAGCAAGGTTCCTTTTACACCCAAAAAAAAGGACAAATCTGATTGACTGACTAAGTTTTTAGGGTACGTGTTCCTTTAAAAAAAAAACATCATGACTTAAGTATACCTGGGCATGCTTAGATACTTGTACATGCTTGGTATTTTTTTAAAGGGGCAACCAAGTGAGTTTTGTGTTTCTGGAAAACTTTGCTCCCTGCCTGACCTCATCACCAGTGCAATTCTCATGTCATATCTTTTCACTGTATGCTGTAAATGACAAACTGAGCCATTGGTTCCATGCTACAGTCACCATTGATAAAGTATAGCATTGTTTCTGGGCTTCTGACATAAACATTGACAGCATCAAAATTGACAGTAATCACACCATGCATAAAGAACATGCCCAGTGATGATTCTTTCAACTGAAATGTACAGAATTTTTTTTAGAGAGGGCAATGAAACATTTGTTGCCATCAAAAGAAAAAATGATTTCTCCTCTCTGCCACCAGTGTATATATGTATTGGTTCCTGCAGCATTTTATATGCTTGTTTTGTTCCTGTTGATGATAATGGGGCTAATTTTTAGTATTCTGACTTTTTTGCTTTTTATCAGTTTTAAGCAGGACACGATCGGGCGAATGTTGCTTCAAATGTATCAGTGGCAGATAAGTTTGAATATTGTATTGGGTAAAGTTAGTATCCAGTCTTTAAAAGTATTTCCTACTTGCAGCAAGTTAGCTTTTTGCTTGTTTGTACTATTTTACATGCCTAACTAGCTCAGCACTGGGAGCAACATGCAACACTATAATGCTTTGGCATAGGTTACATGTTGGCATAGCCTTATTCTTCACTATAGTTTGACTACTGTACCTTGCTATAAATGACTGGCTCAGCAGGTTATTAGAATAAAATGTTGACTATGACCCCATTTGTGATTTGTGCTGTTTCCTTTCTGTTGTGCTTCACATTTGCCTTTGTCACTTTTTTTCTGTACACCTGATATTTCTGTAATGTTTATGTATTAAGACTGAAACAGAAAATTGATTGCTGTTGACCAAAATGCAAAATATTTAGTTTTTGTCTATAATAGAACTATTTTTGCAAATGTGACACCTGAAAGCAATGAATTAGACTGTAAGTCTGTATTTTAATGGAAATAAAGTTTGAAAATCGCCAACTTGTATTCAGCTTCATATAATTTGTGCATTTCAATAATTCCTAAGTATCAGTATACTTGTGTTGGAAAAATCATTGTTGCAGTTTATTTTCCTTTGAACATGGGTATAGGTTGCATTTTAAATGCAGTCACTAACCAAGGCAGAATTTGTATAAGGTAGTAAGGGAAATGAAGATGTTAATTCTGAAATATTACTTTAAATGAAAATGCAATAGGAGTACACAGGAACGTTAGTTCACAGAGCAAAATCTGAACCAAAAGCATGAAATCATTCAAACTGACATATTTACAGAATAATCTTCCAGAAAGAACAATGGTGAAAACCCTGAAATCTCTTAACAATCAGCTGCTGAACTGATGGGAATTTAGGATCTCTCTGGGAGGATGAATTATGTTGCAAAAAGTATTGAGATTAATTGTTTAATTGTGTTGTGAAAATAATCTAGCTCCAAGAAGTGGGTCTAGCCAGTATTTCCAGAGAATGTGCTGCCTTCAGCAGGACTACTGCTGGCAGAGGGTGATGTCCTTTCTGGTCACTAACAAGTGGACCACGTCCACATACTTTTTCACTTAGCTTGTATATCTTCCCTCATTATTTGAAGGCGTTTGAAAAATTGAAGCTTCAAATCACTTTAAACCCATAAATTGTGCCGTTTTACATGTCATGCAGGTTTTCATCTTGCTGCAGGGTTAGATTCACCGTTCAAATCAGCAATAGAATGATTATGGTCCTCAAATATCCTAAAAGTTCAGCATTGCAAGCTGTGACTTTAAATCCAGTACGTCTGGTTATTGGTATCCTGGCATCAAAATAATATGAAAGCTGCCTAACTTTTAAAATAAATCTCAGTTGGTTCACTAGACATCCAGGAAAGGGTCCTAGTTAACCTGACCTAATCTGGCTGATACTCAACTCTATTGCTATAGTACAGTGTTAATTCTCAATAGTGTACCACTATGAAGTAGCACAGTAAATCACTATTTCATTGTAGAGTTCACAAGTCTTTTCTACTGCAAGAAGGTGGACCCACCAGTTTCTCAGAAGCTGGAAATAAACAGCATGTATAACTTGGTTACTGTTCCTCAGAAGCACAGAATAATTAATCAAAACAAATATAGAAAGGATTGAGTGAAGGACTGATAACCCAAGCAGTATTACAAAACTACTTTATGATCTAGTACAATAATTTAAATACATTGTAACTTACTGAAGCTTTATATTTGGGCGCATGATGTATTGTCTCCCTGTATTGTATTGATAAATCCAATTGTGTTTTAGAATTTCAGTCATGGAATGCAAAAATGTCATGTTGTTAATGTGGCGCTTTTGTGTTAAAGATGAATGAATGGGGGAATTGATCAAAAGCTATGGATTGTTTTTAGATTTATTTTGCAACGCATTATGTTAATATGGGATATTTTGATATTAGAGGTCAATATTTGATTTTGTTTTAAATTTTTAAATCATATTTTCCAAATGTTTCACTTCTAACTTGCTGTTCAGTAATTTTAGCAATACCACTAATTTTCTAATGGACTCTTTTTGTGGTAACTTGGTCTCTTGTCCAGGATAGTATTGTGATTTGTGTACCGCATCCTCTCTCAAAGTGGCTTTTAATCAGCCTCTGTGCACTTATCTCTATGACAACCAAACGGTAAGATGATTTCCCTCTCTGAAGTGCTTTAAAGGTATTTCAGTGACTGTAAAACACCTTTTTTGGATGTTCTGAGGCTGTGAAGGATGCAGTATGATGCAAATCTTTTGAATCTTTCAATGGCATCAACATCGACAAGCCAGTTTAATTCAACTCTTTAATAGCTAACCAACGCCATGATTGCATGCATATAAATTGTATCTTGACAAATGTTTCAGTGTGCTTCCAAGATCGTATTGGTCGAAATGAATTACTGACCAGAGCAGCCATTAAAGATGGTTTGAAAACTGACTTGGATTTTAATAAGTGTCCCGAAAGAAAGGGAAATTTTAAATGTGAAGGGGTTTAAGGAGAGAATTATGGAGTGTGGAGTAACAATAGTTGAAGATTGCTGGTGAATTGAATAACTCAAGCTGTAGAGATGACTTTAATTGTGAGGGTGTAGGGTTTGAGAGATGGGAGATGTTGGCTTACAAGGGAAGAGGATGTAGCAGAAATACAGGACAGCTATTTGGAAAGCAAATAAATGAAATAACCACGCCAATACAGTCAATAGATATGATATAACCATTACAGAGATATGGTTATAAGGACATCAAAGTTGGTAACTAAATTTTCAGGGGTATGTACTTTTTCAAAGGACAGGCAAAAAGGAAAAGGTGTTGGGGTACCTATGGGATAGAACAAGTACGATAGCAAGAAATGATTCCAGAGTTGAGAGGGTTGGATTATGAGGAGAGACTGAGTAGACTGGGTTTATACTCATTGGAATTCAGAAGAATGAGGGGAGACCTTATAGAAACATAAGATTATGAAGGGAATCGGTAAGGTGGAGGCAGGGAGGTTGTTTCCACTAGCAGGTGAAACTAGGACTAGGGGGCGTAGCCTCAAAATAAAGGGAAGCAGATGTAGGACTGAGGTCAGGAGGAACTTCTTCACCCAAAGGGTTGTGAATCTGTGGAATTCCCTGCCCAGTGAAGTGGTTGAAGCTACCTTGCTGAATGTTTTTAGGGCAAGGCTAGATAAATTTTTGAACAGTAAAGAAATTAAGGGTTATGGTGAGTGGGCGGGTAAGTGGAGCTGAGTCTCAAAAAGATCAGCCATGATCTTATTAAATGGTGGGGCAGGCTCGAGGAGCCAGATGGCCTACTCCTGCTCCTAGTTCTTATGTTCTTAAGTATCTTGAATTGGAAGAAGTAGAATACATACAAGTAGAGGTAAAAAGGAATTGAGTGTAAAGCATTTTTATGGTAGTGCTAAAGCTGGTGCTTTTGGACTTCCAATTTTTAATTGGAGAAAATTGTGGATTTGCCAATACTGAATGTCAGCCAAACAGCTTGATAGTGCAAATGTAGTGGAGTGATCTGGGTGTCTACGATCAAATGGGTAAGAGTGGAGCTAAACAAGGGCCTGGACAGAGTGGAGTTGAAAGAGGAATATGGCGTGGTTGGTTGTTATGCCTGTTGTCTGGTTTAGAAGATTGAAATCAAGTAGATTTCAAAGATGTCACAGAATCTCGATTTGCACTGCAGTGCTGCAGCGATCACTGCATCCTGACTTTCAAATGAAATAATAATTTGAGACACTTGCAAATGAAGATTGAAAGTTCCATGGTTCAACCTGTTCCTTAACTAGCTCCAAATCATTATTACAGAAATTTGGAAGATTAGACTTAAAAATTCTCTTGTTAACAAGCTACAAAAATGGTTAGTTTCTCCACTGTGACTTTGTCTATTAGGCCTGTCTTGGGTATGAAAGCTGGTGGAAAGAACTTTGTTCATAATTAATGTTTCCGTGGTTATTCTTTTCATTGTTGCTAGAATTCAATATTTGGAAGAGAGACCACTGTTGTTATTAGAAATCCTGGTGTCGAGGTGAGATGGCACTTTTGCAGTTGCTGCTTTACTCACTGTCAATGCTGATGAGGTATCAAGATGAAGCCTTGCTAATCCCTCTAAGGAGAGAGGAAAGTTGGGTGGAAAATTGCATCCAGGCTGCTTTTACACACTAAATAAAAACTGAAAGAACTGCGGATGCTGTAAATCAGGAACAAAAACAAAGTTGCTGGAAAAGCTCAGCAGGCTTAGCAGCATCTGTGAAGGAAAGGAAGAGTTAACGTTTCGGGTCCAGCGACCCTTCAGAACAGTTCTGAGGAAGGGTTGCCAGATCCGAAATGTTAACTCTGTTTTTTCCCTTTGCAGATGCTGCCAGAGCTTTTCCAGCAACTTTGTTTTTGTTCCTGCTTTTACACACTGATCAATTTTAAGACCGCAATAACTAACAGTCTTAACAGCAAGTTGCATATATGGCCCTTGGCAAAGCTAGATTCAAAAAAACAGTGAAAACCTAGAAATTCATGTATTTGCTGAAAGTTTTGATAGAAAAACTGAGTAGATGAATATTATGTAGCATATTTTCTGTTTTCCTTTGAAACATAATGCCTCTCCTTGCCAAAGAATAAATGTTTAATAACAACCAAAAATGGACAGAGATCAGAAGGATAACTAGCTTATTTCTGGCATGCAGGTGTTATTTACTTTAAAAGTTGATTTTAAACTCAAACCTATCTATCATTTTTATAATTAATTTGAAAGAATACAATGTGCTGTACCATTGGAAATCTACACCATATAGTCTGAATAATTCATATGTCAAAAATCTTTGGGTTTTGAAATAATGAAGACTTGTGACAAAGGGCCTTTTTTTCAGAATATTGTGACCCCATCTTTATTTTTCCTCTCTGATACTGACAGACCTGTTGTACATTTCCAACATATTCAGAGTGTGAAACCCAGCTAACTAAACTTGATAGATTCAAACTTTGAAGAGAGTGACAAATGATAGTTTAACCAGTCTGTTTAAGCACAAATCTATTGAATGTAATTGTTATACAAGGCACTGAGAGAGCGCCATATTTGGAGTATCAGGTCCTACTGAGGTTTCACAGATATAGTAGTGATATCTGGGCAATAGGATTAACAGTGAACTCAGCCGAAGAGGAGTATTTTTATCTGAGGACTGAAGCAATTGTTTTCAGTCTCTAGTCTAAACTCCCTTCTCCAGTAACCAACTTTGTCCTCTCACTGGCAAAAATCTGATATTAAGCTAGTCTGTCCACAAGTTTGGTGTCACATTTGACTGAGCTTCTGAACTTGCATTCATGTCACGACTAGACTACCTATTTCCACCTCTGGAACATCTCAGTTCACCTGCTGCTGAAGCTCTTGTCCATGACTTGAGTATTACAGTGCGTTCCTGGCTTCCCACGTACCATTCTCTGTAAGCTTAAGAACATCCAAAACACTGCTGCTTGTGTCTTACCCTGCAGATAGTCCTTATTCCCTA